CTGGGCCAGCTGGCTCATCAAGCTACAGGAGTCTGACAGCACAGGAAGACAGCTGGCCTGGGATTCTGGAAGCTCTGGGGTCCCTAGTCCCAGGACAGTCCACATGGTTGGGCTGCCCCAGAGCAATGAACTCTGGTAGCCCAGAGTTCCTTGCCCTAGGGCAGTCTGCATGCATCCAATTGAGCGCTTAAGCTTTTCTGCCTTTTAGTTGCCAGCATATAAAAGCAATACAGATTGCAATTTTATGTGCAAAATGAACACCACCATAAGACAGAACCTCAAACAGCAGAGCTCAAACCTATTAAAATGCTGTGTTCTTGCAGATCTTGTCAGACAGATGGGGCAGATGTGCTTCAATTGAACAATAAAGGAATAACAAAAACCAACAAATGTGAAGACTATCTCACAGAACATTTATACAATGATACTGACTGTTGCTGTGTTAATAAGCAACTGCATTAATACATATACACAAAATCTTTAACCAGATTTGTGTATTTATAATTTATAAAAACTTAATTTCTTTGGACAGAAACCATAATGAGCTGAGACGAACATATCTCCAGTGTTTACAGTAAAAGAGGTTGGGAAGTGAAGCACAATAAATATTTAAGTTCCATAATCTTGTAATTAACCGGAAATATGACTACCTGCCAGCTCTAGTTGAAAATTATAAAAACACAGGATATATAGAGAATCTCTGCATCATTTTCTTCTCATTAAGATTTAAAGGAATTACATTTAACAATTAAAGGCTAGATAAGCGATTAATCACTCAAACTGGTAGATCTGGGCCAATTTTACTCTGGTTTAGCTATCTGTCTATAGAGAGTCACTACAGCTGGTGGTGTATTTTTAAGATGGCTTATATATGACCTTTTCTGGGAGTAACAAACTGAATCATTTAAGAGAAATATTCCATGAACAGTGTCACTGAATGCTGTAACTGATGGTAAAATAACATGTCCCAAACATAGATGTTACAGCATTCCAGGAAAAATTCAGCATAATTAACTATAAAATTGAAATGAAAACCAGTCAAATAATAATTTTGGGTTCAGTGCTGCTCCAGTTGAAACTGCTGGAAATACTTGCGCTGAGTCAGTGGGAGCCGGCCATTAGTGTGTACTAAAATGTTAGGTGTATGAAACGCAAACAATAAATCTAATGAAATCTTGATATGCTATCATTATGCGTATATGCCAGTGCTGTTTAGTGTTTGATGCAACTGTCATTAGAGAGAGCAAAACATGTATTGTTTGGGTTTCAAAATTTGTTGGCAATCATTTTTTTCTCTCTTGCAGTTTTAAACATTAGGTGTTAGACTTTCTGTTTCCCCAAAAACAATTCCCACCTCCCCCATGTCAAGTAGTACAAAATAGGTTTTATATTAGGCCCCCTCTTGCATATGTGTATGCCTGTGTTTAACTAGAAGCATGTGAGTAGTCCCATTGATTTACAGGTGCAGGGCACTAATTTGTACATTTTCTGGATACATTGATATTTACTGTACCAATTAAATTAGGAACAATAAATATATAGGGGGGGGTTACATTTATTGTGACATAGATTAACACCATTTGAAGACAATCAGTATACTTTGAAACTGGATTAGATAGGACTTTAATTGGTTTAGTAAAAGATGTGTTTATAATTTAACACAAGAAGATCACTATTTAATCCATTCTTATGAGGTTGTATTAAGGCCCGTGGTCTTTGCTTTTCTCTACAGTTGTTGGATCCGTTATATCTTGAAAATTTTAAGCACAATGAGGGTTACACCTCAGTAAATTTCTTGAGGCTAGAGCGAAGACCAAGGCTTCTCAAAGCTTGTTTTTAGGATCTTGAGAGACTGGTAAGAGATACTGACTTAGCTCCAGGAAAAGGTGTGCTGTATCTTGCATACTGTAATTTGGCTTTGCTGAGGATAAACTCCCAGAGGAAGGTAACATTAAACCACACTAAAGTACTGCAGGAGAGGAGGAGAAGTAGCATGATTGAAAATGAGGCGGGAGCTGTTAATAACGGAAAAGAAATGCACTGCACATCTGAGGCGCGCACACAATGTATATTACACACTAAAAGCCTTATTACTAGCCCCTGGAGCCAGTTTTTCCGGATGTTAAATACTAATGCAAAATGCATTAGTTCTTGAGAGTTAGTCCATTGGACTGCTAGGAGCTAGGGATTAACAAAATCCCTTCCCTTATTTCTCCCCTCTCGCCCCACACACACAATTACAATGGCTAAGTCAGAAATAAACTGCACATCAGCGCCATTACAAGGTTCACTCTGCTTTGAGCAGTTTCCAACCTCTGTCTGCTGGGTTCCCTCTTGTGATGAATTGGTGGAATGGTTACCATATTCTGTATCCCCCTCTATCCATTACCCTGTACAATTGCTACTCTGTCCTTTCTTCTTGCCATTCTCTGTCTCTCTGCTGTCCTCAGTCTGTTCTTTTCCTGCTCATCTTGGTGTTTTTGTTTTGTTTCTCCTTTTTACTTTCTATTTTATAATTTTAGCTTGCAACTTTTAAAGCTCCATCTCTACAGTGGACTTCCCTCTACCCACCCCTGAGCCCCATTCACCCAAAATTTACATGCTGCTTGGGAGAGAAGAGAGGGGCATGCCAGGGGTGGTCATTGGTGGTTCTATGGAGCCAGGGAGCTGCTTTGAGCCAGGGAGCTGCTTCCTGACACAGGAGCATATCCCATGGCTAGTTGCTTTAGGGCCCAACAGAAGAGCAGTAGGAAAGGCACATAGTTTTCAAAGAGCTACCAGATACTTTAACTGCAACAGTGTTTGCAGTGGGCACGTTGTATTGGGTTGCTTTCTCTTTGCCCCTTCCCCCCCCCTTCAACACACACCTGAAACTAATCTGGACACTTGCCTGCCAGATTAGGAAACACTGCTTTAGAATCAACATTACTTTGGGTTTTGATTTGTCAAGTTTGGTATTCAGGCAGTAATGGTGACTGAAAAATATGGATATATTGAGTGGGGGTTGGGGACTGATCTCACCTCAGGGTTTCTCCATGGATTTGTTTCCAACCTCAAGTCCTGCTTTATAGTCTGGCTACTACCATGTTGTTTAAATACCTTGGTCTGCAAAAAATATTTTTAACACAGGCTGATCATATTTAGTTCCATATGAAAGGTTACCTGAAGGAAAACAGGTCTGAGTTCTGTGAAGTGATGGGCAAGCTGCATCAGAATCGCTCTGGGCTACTATAAAGCAGGATTGTTAACTTTTAGCGGTAATGTGCCAAATAAAGCAATGAAAGTAGTTTAGAATTTTTTAGAAAGCTTTTACTGTGTTTCAGACCAATGATTTACAATATGTTGCAATACATCATGTATCTTTACGTGGTGTACTATAAACTGTGTAGCTTGTAGTACTTGCTCTTTAGTTATCATAACATAAAATGCATTAGTCTGGATTTTGCAAAGACATTGAAGTAGCAAGCCTTGTTTGCTAGACTTTCAAATGGAAGAACCTACTTGAAGGAGAGATTTGGCATTAAAATATACCAAACTTTCAAAAGCATAAAGAATGAGAAAGATTGTGGTGTATCTGTATAACAGAGCTTTAAAACTGATATCTAGATATGGAACTGGATTCTGTTATGCCTTAGTTACCAAAGCTGATTGTCTGTTACGCAACATGAATCTTGCTAACCCTTTTCCATCTTTCAGGCTTCCAGAAAATTATCAAAAATCATCTTGCCTTTAAGGCTTCTAATAAAAATTGAAAAATGATGGTATAGGTGTGACATAGCTTTAAAACATGGGGACGGCGCGGGAAGGGGAAGCAAATGAAAAATGTTTGTTCCAAAAAGTTTGTTTATTTCATTTTCTTGGAAAGTGTACTTGATGGCATGTATCCTCTGGCTCTTTGGGGAATTTGGGTGTAGTATAAAATGTGTGTTCAAGTACAGTTATTCCTACAACTGTTTCACTGATATTTAAGTATGTCAGTGGCTCTGGATGTGAGTTGGTACGCCGCAGGTGATTTTCCTTCATCTTACATATAAGCATATAGTGCTTTTCACAGCTAAAAATCTCAATCTATTATGAGATTGGTTTTCATTTGACTTTTAAGCTAAGTGGTGGTTATCAGTTTACTCACAAAAAGCAAAAATGTGTTGAGATCCCACACTGTAGTTTAGCTAGATGCTATGATGATAGGCACTAAAGGAAAAATATTACATAGGCAGTTTGCCAGAATCTATGAATCTTTTACATAGTTGCTTTCCAAAGACTGCTGTACAATTGCCTGCAACTCTTGCACAGTTGCCACAATTTTCGTCTCACTGAACTGTTACATGGACAAATAACAAAGGAATCTATTTGAATGAGGCTCCAATTAAACTCTCCTGTTTTGACATACTTGCTTTCTTCACTAACCAGTGCCAAGTATTTCTTCTTTATGGGTCATAATGAAAGCAAAGACTCAGTGCAGAAAAGTTAAACAAAGCTGTTTCAGCTCTCTGTTCTGTGGAAAATTATGCAGTTGGTTATCTGTTTCAAAGAAGAACTACAATTACTGCTTGCATAAATATTTAGATAAAAGCAATAGTTGTATGTATTGAGAAACAAAGGCTACACTCATGATAGAAATGGATAGGATATCCTAGAATGTTATGTTCCAAGTGGTTTATTACGTATGTGTATCATAACAGTTGTAAAACAGTATACAATTTTTAAAAAGCATAATAACATTAATCCTAAACTTTAGCCTTTGTGTTGGCACCTAATTTCCTGATACTTCATGGGAATCACACTCTTAAATCACTTCTGGATCTCCTATTAGAAAATTTCTCTCCAGCTGTTGTCTGTCTCTGTATCATAGAATCATTAATTTTTAGTGTACAGGAATTCTGTCAAAATGCCATCTTCACAATCTTTATTGCGCTAGCTTTCAAATATGAATGAATGATGAATGCAAATTTCTGTGGAGATTTAAGTGCCTCTTCGTAATAATTTCTTTTTAATTACAGAGCAAAGAGATTGCATTCCAGCTTCATGAAGATTTGATGAAAGTTCTAAATGAGCTTTATACGGTAAGCACATTTAGTTAGCTTCTGTTGCAAGAACTGTTTGTACAAATCGATTTCTGCACACTGTAAGTGTCCCTTTAGATGGCAACCATTGGTTCTGAAATTAGGAGTGGTGCTGCACCCCTTGGCTTAAAGTAATAATAACAAACACTAAATACATGGTTTCCATCAGCAACACCCCTACTATAAAAATTGTTCCAGCACCGGTAATGGCAACTCGCAGAAGTAGAAATAGCACAGTATTTTTGTCCAGGCAATGTCCAACCAGTTGTTTTTCCTCTCAATGTGTTTAGCTGAGCTTTATACATTTCCTAAACTAGGTAAATATGCTTAGTGCACTGCACCTTATTTATCAGCTGAAATGTTCTGTCTTACATGCTCATTATAGCACTTCCCAATCATTCATAATTTTTGTAAGCATTGATCCTGGAAACACTTACATTGTAAGCATCAAATAGTCCCATTGAAGTCATACCACCATGCCATGGCTTCTAATGAATATTGAATTCTGTCACAGTATTAACATTTAACCGTGGGTTTTGTTTTAAGTAGAGCTGTCAAGCGATTAAAAAAATTAATCGCGATTAATCGCGCAATGTTAAACAATAACAGAATGCCATTTATTTAAATATTTTGGATGTTTTCTACATTTCCAAATATATTGATTTCAATTACAACACAAAATACAAACTGTAGAGTGCTCACTTTATTTTTAATTACAAATATTTGCACTGTAAAAAAACAAAAGAAATAGTATTTCAATTCACCTAACACAAGTACTGTAGTGCAATCTCTTTATCATGAAAGTTTAACTTACAAATGTAGATATTTTTTTTGTTACATAACTGCATTCAAAAATAAACAATGTAAAGCTTCAGAGCCTACAAGTCCACTCAGTCCTACTTCTTGTTCAGCCAATCACTAAGACAAACAAGTTTGTTTACATTTACGGGAGATAATGCTGCCTGCTTCTTATTTACAGTGTCACCTGAAAGTGAGAACAGGCATTTGCATGGCACTTTTGTAGCTGGCATTGTAAAGTATTTATGTGCCAGATATGCTAAACATTCAAATGCCCCTTCATGCTTTGGCCACCATTTCAGAGGATGTGCTTCCATGCTGATGACGCTCGTTAATTAAATTTGTGACTGAACTCCTTGGGGGAGAATTGTATGTCTCCTGTTCTGTTTTACCTGCATTCTGCCATATATTTCATGTTATAGCAGTCTCGGATGATGACCCAGCACATGTTCGTTTTAAGAACACTTTCACAGCAGATTTGACAGAATTCAAAGAAGGTACCAATGTGAGATTTCTAAAAATAGCTACAGCACTCGATCCAAGGTTTAAGAATCTGAAGTGCCTTCCAAAATCTGAGAGGGACAAGATGTGGAGCATATTTTCAGCAGTCTTAAAAGAGCAACACTCCGATGCGGAAACTATAGAACCCGAACCACCAAAAAAGAAAATCAACCTTCTGCTGGTGGCATCTGCCTCAGATGATGAAAATAAACATGTGTCAGTCCACTCTGCTTTGGATTGTTATCAAACAGAACCCATCATCAGCTTCGACATATGTCCCCTGGAACGGTGGTTGAAGCATGAAGGGACATATGAATCTTTAGGGCATCTGGCATGTAAATATCTTGTGACGCCAGGTACAATAGTGCCATGTGAACGCCTGTTCTCACTTTCAGATGACATTGTAAACAAGAAGTGGGCAGCATTATCTCCTGCAAATTGTAACCAAATTTGTTTTTCTGAGCGATTAGCTGAAGTATGATTGAGTGGACTTTAATGCAGGTTTTTTTATATATACAGCAGTAGTTAAGTGTGGGAGGGGGAAGGGTGTCGGGGCACGGGACGGGGTGAGGCGGGCTCTGGGTGCCACTTACCTCGGGGGGGCTCCCCAGAAGCGGCAACATCACTCCGCCCCCAGAGCTCCCATTGGCCGCAGTTCCCATTGGCTGCGGAGCTGGCGCTTGGGGTGGAGGGAGCGCACAGAACTGCCTGCCACGTCTCCACCTAGGAGCTGAGCTGGGGGATGTCGCCACTTCCGGAGAGGCACAGAGCCAGGTAGGGAGTCTGCCAACCCCCCCCCCTCCGCCCCAGGAACCCCTTTGAGCACCCCGGGCCGTCCCCACCCCAAGATTTAGTCAGGGGTATATAGTTGAGGTCATAGATAGGTCACAGACCGTGAATTTTTGTTTACTGCCTGTGACCTGTCCATGACTTTTACTAAAAATACACGTGACTAAAATGTGGCCCTAGTAATGAGCAATAAATAAAACCCATAAAATTATTGCAACCTTTTCAGTGTGAAAAAAGTGAAGGGAAGCAGTTGAATTTGGTTCAGTTAGGTGAAAGGTGGACAGGTACTGATCTCTCTCTCCTTTGGTTTGTTCTCTTCCTTGCATTTTTTTTTAATGAAGTGATCAGTTTCCACTTGTGCAGTTGTTAAAATTAAAATCTTTGAATGCTGACTGGCATTCAGGTACCCCCATGCACCTCTAAATTCCCTGAATAAGGAGAAGGATTAAAGTTTTTAATCCACTGAAAATGGTGTATGAGGAAAGGTTTATAACCTATAGCATAATTGATTATTTTATAAGAAAGGGTCATTAAAATTAAATGACTTTCCAGGTTTAAAAAGCTGCTGTGCTCAAAGATGGGTTAAAGACCATCAGAGAGAAAAAAAGTGAACTAGTTATTAGCTGAAATATCTAGTAACTGCCTCTTTGAGGAACAGGCATGGTCAGTGTAAATAAATTATGTTTTAGGATTTCTATTGGTTGAGTTTCTCAATAAGGACCATATCCTGTAAATAGATATGCTTGGGCACATCCCTGTACCTGTGCAGAGCCCCATTGATTTCAGTCGGGCTCCACGTGGCCTCAGGCATCTGCCCAGGTGTATCCATCTGCAGGACCTAATCCTTCACAAAGACTCCAGCTGGTAGGACCAGAAGCCGCCAAAGCAGGGAATTATCCTCCTTTAGACATTCCAGGCAAACCTTTCTCTGTCCCATAGTGATTGGTTGCTTATTCCAACCCTTCCCCTCTCTCCTCAGTCTCCTCACATCAGCTTCACTCCACTCCTCTCCCACCTCCCCATCACCTGCATCCCCCTGCCTTTCCTTTTCTTTCCATTTAGCTGACCCCTTCTAAGTAAACCCACCCAGAACAAAACTAACCAAAATCATGGCACTAATGTGATGTTTGCTGCCATCACACTGTTCACTCTGCTTGTGTGTTCTAACCCTTCCCCCACCCTACATCTGTCTTGTCTATTTAGACAATAATGTCTCATTGTTTCCTTGCACTCCCCCATCTGTCTGTGTTCATCTGTTGTCTCTTATTTTATACTTAGATTGTAAGATCTCTGATGCAACAACTGTCTTTTTGTTCTGTGTTTGTACAGCGCCTAGCACAATGGGGTCCTGGCACATGACTGGGGTTCCCTGGTGCTATGATAATACAAATAATAAATAATCATTAATATAATAATTCTAGCAAGCCTTAAAGAACTTTTTTAACTGCAAGTTACGTGTTGGAAAACTTTAATACTCTACCTGGTTATTTTAAGATCATTGGCTGGAAGCAAAATATTATTCCACATCCAAAGGAGAGTTGTCTTTTGAATGACACAAGACAGTACCATCCACTCCAAACATTTTAGCAGGAGTTCAGGCAAGCCTGGCCACTCATACTTCCAGAATGCCCAAACTATTTATACAGTACAACCTCATTTATCCCAAGGTTTTGTGGGACATTCAGAACTTCTTGATAAATGGGTTCTGTTGACTGGGGCTTCTCTATGGGGATCCCTACTGATTTTTGTTCAAAAATTTATAAATGGAACCTTTAAAAACTTAGGCTTGATCTCATGTGCAGATTGTTGAGTAACTGGTTCAGGAGTAGTTTTGGAAATAGTGCTATCTATACCAGATGCTCTAAGCTTTTTGTATTAGTGAGGGAGCCAGAAACAAAAGACAATTTCAAAACCCTTCATTGGAAATCAAGTCTTGCACGTCTTCCCGGGGAAGTCATTTTTAGCCTGTTCAGGGATGGCCCTCAGAGGACCTGATCTAAAGCCTGCTGTAGTCAATGGGAATATTTCAATTTAGAAAGAAGAAACTAGCCCAAGAGGAAAAATGGAAGAGAGGTCACAAAAGAATCCAAGCTATTTGTCACCTCCTATCGAGTATTGAAAAGGCTTATAATTTTGAAAAATAGCTCTTTTTGCTCAAGGGCATTTTAAGAATTTGAAAGTATGAGCCTATAATGAAACCCCAAACTCTGACCTTTGAGAGAGACTACAAAGTGATGTTGCTTCCTGTTCAATATGACAAAGCTTAGAACTGAAAAACGTAAATGAGATGAAATATCTCCAAAATTCAGGTACTCTCTGGAATACTAAAAACCTACTGATGCTTTATGGAAAACAATCTTTTAGAGATCATTATGCTGATTTATACTTTCTCTATTTCTCTTTCCCTGTTTTCATTACTATGGACGTCTCTATGAAAACAGGATTTTTGTTGCTTAGGATTTCATCTGTTTCTGCTGTTTTCATAGTCACTCTCTATTTGTGACATAATTAGTGTTATGATGTCGTAAACAGGATTGCGGTAATAAACAGCAGGAACAGATGTTCTTGGCCTCCAGTGGATACCCAAAGAACCATGTTGATTTTGGGGATACATAGATTCTGAGTGCTGAGTCCCCTTTTTTCCCCAAGTGGGCAAGAAGGGCTTCCCCAGAGGAATGATCTGTTGAAAATCCCACAAGGGAAACTTCAGTTTTCCTCTCCCATAAGCCCCTACTTGTGACTTCTTCTGGCCCATTGTGTGAAATATTCTTGTACCGCGTACATGATATTGAAATGATTAGTGCATACATACCTGTATTATTTCAAGACAAATGGTCTACGTATTTTAATTTATTTCAGTAAAATAAGGACTCAAATTCCCACTGGTTTCTGCACTTGTTCTTATATTATGA